AAATTTGCTTTACCTAAAAGCAACTGCCCCCTAGCAGGGACTTTGGGGCAGGATTGCGAGGGGAACTAAGAGGGTCTTGGAAGCCTCACCTGTCATTGGGAGGTTCAGGCAGGTGCAAAATGCTAGTGAAATATCAATGATACATTTCCTCCAATGGAGTCAAGCAAACGTCTGAGGTTGTTACAGGCAGCCCAAAAGACCCCAGAAAAAACATTATCAGACAGTCTCCTGAGTCAGAGGGAGAGAGCTGTCCCTGCCTCGATTTTTGTCTTCTTATGTAAATGAATTTAAATGAGAGACCCTAATTGCTTTGTGATAAAGCCAGTTTATTAAAGCAAGCAAATTTATTAAAGGAGCAAAGCAAGCAAATCTATACATCTGGCTTATGAAACATAGATGGGCTCTCAGCTAATCTGAAGAGCAAGTGGGGTGGGTATGGGGTTCTGCCTTATATACCCTCCTGTCTATAAACTGTTGTTTTTTTTAAACAATTATCTGCTAGATATCCTAGTACAAGTTAACTCTGAAGAGCTCCCTTTTTCTTTTTTATGGCTTTTCCACAATTTATGAGAAGCACCTAGCCATTAAATCCCCAAACTGTTGGCTTTTCTGTTGGCTTTTCTGTTTAAACAGTGGGATGAGATAAGACTCTACTCTTCTTTCCCCCTCCTCCCTGCTGTTTTTGTTTTTTGTTTTTAAATATATGCTTTTATTGATTTCAGAGAGAGGAAGGGAGAGGGAGAGAGAGATAGAAACATCAATGGTGAGAGAGAATCATTAATCGGCTGCCTCCTGCACGCCCCCTACTGCCACTTGCCCCATTGGCCACGTGCACAAGCCAGGCATGTGCCTTGACTGGGAATTGAACTGTGACTTTCCTGCTGTTTTAACAGTTTCGGGATGATGTAAGGAGTCTCTGGTCAGTGAGAAGTTGAAGTAGGGTTCATCTTCCTCTTCTCTCCCCCTTTCCCTTCCACTCCTACATTCTTTTGTAAGAAGAGCTTTTAACCTTTTGTTCTCAAGACAGGATCCTGTTACAAGCAGCCTGTGAAGCTTTTTGGCTTTAATTTTCCTGCCTTCGTTTTCCTATTCCACTTGTCCTAGAATTTTGCTAGCTTTTAATCGTCCTGTAACAAGGCTTCAACCAGAGAAGCTGTGATCTCGGCATAGGGAATGGTGCACATTAATGAGGTTTTCCAGGTAGAAATAATGAAGGACTCGCTCTTATCTAAGGACCTACCTGGCTTTGGGCTAAAGGAAGGAGAACTGTGCCGCTTAGAGAACAAAATATTAAAATTTCAACTAAAGATGGAATCAGTATTACTAACTTTTCCTTTTCCTCAGTCTCTAATCTGGCTTTACCTGGCACTTTTTATTTAAAATTTTTATATTTTGCTATCATGGACTTTTTGTATTAGTTTTTTTTTAAATATTACACACAAATATTATTTGTATCTATGGCTGGGTTTTTTGGTGCCCCCTTGAATTTTGCGTCATGGTGAGTGCCTGCTCACTTGCCTCACCCTAGCCCTTGAAGGTGTGGCATAGTGTCACAGTTGAGGTGACATCTGATATAGAAAGCAGTTAGGCAGACAAGAGCGGAGTAGGAAAGAGAGGCCAGATACAGAAGGTCACTGGGGTGGAAAGCCCTGGGTGCCCAGCAACAGGCCAAACTGGGAAAACAAGTACAGTGGTCCCTCGGTTTTCGAATGTAATCCATTTGGGAGCCCGTTCGAGCTCTGAAATGTTCAAAAACCGGGGGATCACAGTCAACGGTGAGGCCTCAGGACCTTGCCTTCAATGGGAGCCCTGCGGCGTGTTCAACTTCCGAAGCGTGTTTGAAAACCGAAGTATTGCCTCCGGGTTTACGGCCTTTGTAAACCGAAATGTTCACCAACGGAGACGTTCAAAAACCGAGACACCACTGCATTGTAGAGTGGGACCTCGCCCCCACAGTGACCCTGCCCTCCCTAGCATATTATAGTGATTTACACCCCCCGACCTTTTTATATTGCTGGTCATGTGGTTTGGATCCTCCCCTGCCCTTTTCTCCTCTGGCATGTCAATAGTCAAGTGGTAGACCCCCTTAGAGGAGAACGAGGGGGCCAGAGCTTAACCTCATATTGTTGCAGGAGGAATTAATGGGCCAGATTTCCCAGACACCAGTAGGAATGAGGTTTTGGGGGTACCACTGAAATAAGCACTTTCAGAAAGCCTCTGTGGGAGGATGAGATGTGGAAAAAGGCTTTATTTGCATAAGTTATAGTTTTTTGGGTTGCAATGCCCCATTTCCCCCAAGCCAGTCCTATAAGAGGGGCAGCTGGGAGTTTAGCAAAACCGAAAGTAAGGCCTGAGCTTTTGCTCCATGTTGCAGCCTGGTGTAGTTGAGCATCTAAGCTAATTAAGTCCATTAATCTATGGTGTGGAGTCCAACAGGGCCATGTACCATATGGGCACAGGGGAGCGCATCCTTTGTCACAGGAGAGCCAGGAACCTATGTGCCAGAGAGAGAAAAGAGAGAGGGAACTTCCTTTGTTTGAAAGCTGAAATATTCAGGTTTTGTGCACTTGCAGTGGCCACACCTCTTCTGGCCCCTGACTCAATTCCAGGTATGACTGATGGGCAGACAGGTAGGCACCTTCCCACGTCACTCAGGCTTTACTGGGCAGGCATCTCAACTGCCTTGTCCAGTCCCTTCCCTCACTGATCAGCAGGAAACAGACTTGGAAAGTGTTAAATGCAGCTTTTGGCAAAGTTATATAAATGGCATGTCTATATTTAGTCTTCCCTTTGTTAACGTAAGAAATCATTCAAACCTGTGAAGAATTTTTGTGAGTTTACTTGAGGCAAAATGTCGACAATTTCCGGGAAGCCAAAACCTCAACGGGTTGAGATAATGCTCCAGAGGATGGCAGTTTTGCACCTTGCTTTATAGATTACAGTCAAAGGGGGAGACATAAGTGGGTTACATGAAATCCGTTGGTGATGGATTAGGGAGGAGGGGAAAGCAAAGCAGGGGTGAGGGGGAAACCTCTGGGATCGGATAAAAAGTAAAATGCTAGACACTCACTTCTTTTAGGTGGGTGCAGGATAGTTAACAGTCAATAATTAATATGATAACAATGACAATGAGGGGATTTGTGAGTGCCTGTCCAGCTCTGCTCTGTGGGTGCCTGTGCTTGAAGGGATCTAGAAAAAAGGGAAATTACTTTGTTTTTGCAAAGGCATGTTTATCAGGTATTTTATTCTAGATGCAAAAAGACAACAGACAGACTTAGTTAAGGTGAACATTGACCTTTGTCAGGGGAGATTCTAGCCTAGGACGTGACTACCTGACATAAACTGCTTTCAGTTAAGAAGTTTTCATTTCAGACCATCCCATGTGGTTACGTTAGGCCTCTGAGCTTGTAAGGCCACCATGCAGGCCTCCCCACAGCTTATCAGGTTTAGTATGTGGCCCCTTTTATTCCACAGTTCTTTCAAATTAGTGTTTCAGGTTTCTTCTAATATATTCCTGGAAGCAGGATCACTGGGTCAAAAGGCAGCTCCGTTTTTAATTTTTTGAGGACACTTCACACTGCTTTCCACAGCGGCTGCACCGGTCTGCGTTCCCACCAGCAGTGCGTGAGGGTTCCCTTCTCTCCACATCCTTCAGGCACACTTCTGAGTTTCCATCCAGCTACACCCAGTCTTCAACCTGGCTTTTCTGTCCTTGTGCACTTTGACCCCCAAGTCCTGTGGACCTATGCCCAACTCCCTGGGTGTTGGGGATCCGTGGTCAGGCCTACTGTGATTACCCTCAGAAATAGCTCATGAAGGACCAATTTCACGAGAGCATAAGGTATAACTGGCCAAAACCAGTATAAGCTCAGCACAGTGCGAGGCACGTTGTTAATGAGCTGGTTAATAAATCTGTTTCTGGCTGCTATGTCTGCTTCTGCTGAGGACATCTGCTGTTCCTACATTTTTGCCCTCTTGACAACCAGACCCTTGGAATATTCCTGATCTCCAAATATTCCTGATCTTCATCACGAATGATGAAGCCATCATTCGTGTGACACTGTACTTACATTTCAACAGAGATACTTCTAAGCGCCTTGCTTGGGTTTGGCTGATGAATTCACAATCACATATCTAGGAAGACATAATTACACATTCCGGGTTTGAGGATATTTCTCAGCAGTGGGAAGAATTAAGAACTCTTAAATCTGAAGGAGCATAAAGTGTTATAGAGGAAATTGAGGTGTCCTCTTCCCCACTGGGTGCTGGGGATGGGGTCCTTGTGATATCTCAAAAAATAGAATTTTCTGAGGCTCGCATGGGAGAATGAGTGATTTTTTATTTGTGTGGAATTACATCCTTTGGTTTGCAAGGTCCCACTCCAGTCATAGAAGAAACATAGCTTGGGCTTCAGTTCCATGTTGGGGCTGGGTCCGGTTCAGCATCAAGCTAGTTACAGTCCATTGGTCTTTGTGTGCGGGGTCCACATGGCTGTGGGCCCTGGGGGCAAATACAGGAAGCAGGAGCGAGAGAGCCCTGCAAGCCAGAAGTCAAGCACGACATACCAAAAGCAACCAAGAGAGCGAAGTTCTTTGTTCAGGGAATTAAATATCCCAAGGTTCATGTCCTTGCAGTGGTCACACCTATTCTGGCCACTGACCTGTTCCCAGGTGTGACCGACAGCAAGAACCTTCCGCTTGTCATGCCCATTTATTGGGCATCCATCTATTCTCCTCCCTGTCCAGTCCCTTCCCCCAGCGATCTGCAGGGACTAACGGGTGGCTCCCCTGGGGAGCACAAAACTTTAGCTTCCTGGTGAAGCTGCCCAAATAACATGCCTATAATATTTGGCCTCCCCTTTGCTCTTTATTACAACGGTATCAAATGGATAGTTTTCCTGGAAGGAAGTCAATGTTCTTCATTTTTCCTCAATATTTCTGGTCAAGTCAGTGAATTTTTTTGACTGTTTCCTTTGGGATGAGACAGGGAGTGCACTGCTGTTAGATGATATTCTCAAAGGTAAATGGCTTTGGTGTGTCTGGCGATGTGGGCGATGTGGGTTTCTCCATCTGCTAAGCAAACACAAGAATACAGCATGCTGAAGACAAGCAGGCCTCTGTTTCCCTTTCAGGCGGCCCCTCCATCTCAGACACTATCGCTAAGGTTAACCCAAGCCTCCCACTGTGCTTGCTCCCATTGTTTAATCACTCTGACATTAAAGAAGCTGTGCCTTAAGGTCAACACCCACTCATCTTGTTGAATGCTTAATGAACTGAACTTTCCTTCCAATAACCCCTCAGAGCCAACCTTCCCTTTTACTAAGTAAACTGCTGTAACCATTCTCAGCTTTTATGATCTGGTTGGGTTGGGGGAGCGGGACAGGAGGTATCCCTGTTTCTGCCAAGTGTGATCTGTGAAGGAATGTGCTTTAAAGCTTACTACCTTAGTAGTTAGACTCGGGAGTGTGTGAACCAGATGTATCATAGGAAAAGAAAAGGAAATCTCTCCTGCTTCCAGTCTACTGGTGGCTCAGAAGCAAGCTGGAGTCTCCTTCACAGTCATCCCCCCCCTCCCAGGCACAGCCTAACCATGACCTCAGTCAGGATCCTGCTGACTTTCCTGTCACTCTTACCTAGAACCGCTCTCCTACCCTGTTCCGCATTGCTCCCATTTGACTCCCAAAACACAGTTCTCTTCTATTCTCTATGGTCTATGTAATCCTAATCAAAGAAAATGGGGACATCCTGGGGAACTTCTAATTCCAGGCCAGGAAACATGACATCCCTGGGGCCCCAACATTTTTAAACTAAGCTTGAACTAGAAAAAGCGATAAAACAACTAAGATGAAACTAACCTCCAATGCTTCTTACCTGTTTGGGTACTTGCACCGCGGAATAAAGCGTGTTTACGGAATTTTCCTCTGGAATAGTTTTCTTTAAAAAGCCAAAAAACAAACGAACAAACAAAAAGAAATCATCATCCACCCCCTGGGTCACATAAACAAGGCCAAAGAGATGCCTAGAATCCGAAGAAAGGAAAGTAGAGATGAGAGGGGAAAGCAAGAGGGACAGAGGGTTCTGGAACAGGAAAAGATAGTGGGAAATGCTCTTGATGATTGTTGTTATAATTATTAATAACTTGTTTAAAGAAATAATTAAATTATTTTAAAACTGTGTTGTGTTTAAGTGAACTTAAAAATATATAAAATATATAAGTCCCATGAGCTATGAGCCTCCAAGGTAATTAAAGGATAATTTGAAGTAATATTGCTAATGTTGCAAATAAACTTTTCCATAAGTCGAAAGGGCCTTTGGGACCAGTCAGCAAGGATGACTGATGGGACCGAACAAAGCAAAACAGCAATACTAGCAATAACAAAAGCTCCTTCCAGGCTGAGGAAAAATATCCTGGGTTGATGAAGTTGATTCCTGAACGTCCAGGACATTCAGTCCCATGGTCTCCTGGGAACGTGTTTGAGTGGGGGAAGGGGAGGGGGAATGAACCATAAAGTCCTCAATTTGACAGAAGTCAGGTTGAGCAGAGCACAGAGCAGTCTCCCTAAAGGAAGAAAGGGGCTCACAGGATACTAACTCCAAAGAGGAAATGTAATATCTCCTCTTGGAAAAGTTGTAGATAAGAGTAGGAGGCTGGAGTAAAATTTGGATTTTGAGGCTTTAAAATATATTTTTTTAAATTTTTAAATTTTATTAAATAAGCCTATGTGGGAAAGCGCTCTATGACCTTTAAGGAGCTAGTCTTGCCTGGACTACAATGATTGTTCCTGGGGGAACTTTTAAAGTTGTCTACATAGTTCATGTCTCCAGATTGCCTGTTTATTTAGCTTTTTAAAAATTTTATCTTTATACTCTTCTTTTCAAAGAGTTTCCTTTGGATTAACCTTGTGTTCATTTACTTCTTGGTTCATTTACCCTTGGGCCAAAGCCTTGAGTGTGGGCCCAGAGCCACAGTGCGCCCTCTGAGTCCTTTCCTGATGGCTTCTTGAGTTGCCTCAGAGAAAATGGCATCTCTAAGTCCAGTCTGCTGGCACCACAACTCAAACATCATGACAAAACCATACTGCTCTACCTGTTGTCCTATATGGGAAAGGAACCGGGCTGTTTTGCACTGTGGAGGGCAGGTGTGATTCCACAGATCACAGCGTGAGCATTGCTAGTTGGATTAGACCAGGTGACCAGAGGTCACCAACATCTGCATAAGAAAGAATCCACAAAGACTCAGGGGAGACACAGGAGCATGGGGTTTCAAGGGCTATGTACCCTCATCTCCCATGTTGTCCAAATCCATGGGAAAATCTCAAACAAGAAGGGCCTCAGAGAGAAGGGTAAGGTCCCAGGGAAGATGGGAATGGACTCACATTAACATTAGAGATGCTATCATACACTGTCTCTCCAGAAGGGGGGTAGCAGTTAAGGACTTCCTGACGAGCGTCCACTCTCTTCTTCTCCTCAATGGACTCTACGACCAAGTTGGAAGGGAATCAGAGCTGGCCCCACCTTCCACTCACCACCCACATTGGCTCACCACCCCATCTGGCAACATACTTAGGGTGAACAACTGTACTGGTTTAGAGGGTTTTCCAGGGCATGGGACTTTTTAAAAAAAATTCTTACTGAGGATATTTTTTCCATTGCTTTTCAGAGTGGAAGGGGGAGAGAGAGAGAGAAAGAAACATCAGGATGAGAGAGACACATCGATTGGTTGCCTCCCGCATGCGCCGTGACCAGGGCTGGGGATCGAGCCTGCAACCGAGGTATGTGTCCTTGGCCGGAATCAAACGTGGGACCCTTCAGTCCATGGGCCGATGCTCTAACCACTGAGAAAAACTGGCTAGGGTGCGGCATGGGACTTTTAGTGCTAACCCCAGGAAAATCCCAGGATTTTACTTCCCAAACTCTGAAAGGGGTGGGCACTAAAGAGAGATTGGAAGGACCCTGGCCTTAGGAGAGAAATGAAGGACTCAAGCACTCTCTCTACTCCAGAACTAAGGAATGCAGGCCAATAGTGGTCTCCTTCGGGCATCCTTATGCCTAACACCAGTTAGCCTATGTTTTGTAGAATTAATGAGGGAGAAAGTGCGTGAATGAGCGTGAAGACAAAAATGGTACATGCCTACCTTTTCCTCTTTGTCTCAACCTTATCAAAGCAATTGGCACCAGCACAAGGACACTGAACAGTAAGGATGTACACAGGAGGCTCAGGACCGTGACATCTAGGTTACCCACGGCACCTTTAAGGAGAGAATGGGTGGAGGCACAGGGAAGGAAGAAGAGTCAGCTAAGGAAAATGACCCAACTTTTAGAGCAACTGTTACTTTTCTCCCAGTCTGGTGACTTCCCAGGGGCCTCCAGTTTTTACACGGGGCCCATTCCCATGGGGACCAGGAGCTGAAGAAAGTATAGCTCCTGAGACTACAGGCTCCTAGAGAAAGGGGAGAGACAGTCACCTTCACAGAGCTTCCAGGCAAAGATGAGGTCTGAAGCGTTGCTGCTAATGGGGTTTCTCGCTATGCAGATGAAGGTCCTGTCTTTTTCCCCCAGCCTCCAGGATATGGGAAGGATGGGGCCATTATGGGACTCATTGGTTGTCTGCCCCATGGACTTCCAGCTGTAAGTCACATCCTCTCCTCCCTGTTCCATGGAGCATGTCAGGTTGGTCACACAGGTGCCATTTTTATTGTTCTGCAGACCCAAGGTGATTTTGGGCTTTGATAGGTGCTCTATAAAAGAGAAATGGAGAACCAAGGGTGGAAACTATGCCTATATCCCTCCTTTTTCTGAATTATTCTTATAAACCATGGACCTGAACCTCTTCAAGGTGCTGCAGAGTAGAGCAGAGCAGCAAGTTAGAGCAGAATTCTCATTCTTATCTGGAAAAGAGAACTCTCTAGGTTTGCTTGCCCACAGCTGTATAGCAACAACAACTGCAATAGTAATATAAATAATAACAATTCAACAAGGATGCAGTTGCCATTTACTAAGCACAACCATATGGCAAGCACTGTGTTAAATGTATTTTAGATGTTAGCTACTTTTATCTTTCTTAGAGGCTCCCCATTTCCATGTCCTTAGGCTTCTTTGAAGAGACTTCCACTTAACTCTTCCAGACAAATAACACTTCCGGTCCCCTCCTTACTTGCTACTCAGTCCTGTCCCTCAGAGAATGAGTAATTGGTTCGTTGCTGAGATGGGGAGAGTCTGACTTCTATCGCCTACATTTCTCTACTTGTGGGTTTGAGCTGCTAAAATTGTTGCAAAATGTGGTTTGCCCTTTTCCTCTCCCCCTAGCTAGTTTGCCTGCAGAATGCACACCTTCTCTTCCCTTCAACTATGTATAGATGGCGGACACACCTGGATCAAGGTGAATGGCCTACCTCCTACAAGCAAACCCAGGGGGGGTCTCCTGGTGCCCGTGATATTGCATCTCAGTGAGTGAGGCAGCTATTCTTATAGCTGGTTGAATAATTGTTTTGTAAATTTATCTTTCTTGAATGACTTCAAGGTCTAGACTTGGGGAAAAATATTTCTCCTATCTTGCTTTAAAAGAAAAAAGTAAAGCTTTATTTTTATTTTTATAATCCTCACCAAACGATATGTTTTTATTGATTTTTAGAGAGAGAGAGAGAGAGAGAGAGAAACATCTAGTACATGCTCCAACTGGGGATCGAACCCACAATCTAGGTATGTGCCCTGGCTGGGAATCGAACCCACAACCTTTTGGTGTATGGGTGATGCTCCAGCCAACTGAGCCACCCAGGCAGGGCAAAATAAAGCTATTTTTTATCTTCCTTCCAATTCTTGTGTCTATTTCTCCATTGATTGGAATGTGTAGGGGAAGAGGGGTGATTGATGTTTATACCTTTGGAACTGACTGTACTCACCATAGACTCTCAGCCCATACTCCTGGGTGAAGGGATCCTTGTGGGAGGAGCTGTATATGAACACACGATAGGCACCAGAGTCATTCTTTCTCAGTTTGCTGAGCTTCAGGGAGTAGCTTCCATGTGGGAACTCTACCCTGTTCTCATTATGATTTTGAATCACTATGATATTGTTTAGTTTGCTTGCCACTTTTGGCTGTATGGTGACAAGAATAGTTTGGTTAAAGAACCAGACAATGCTGTCAATCTGATTTACTGAGTGTGCCAGAGGGAAAATCACAGATCCACCAAGGGCACCAACCAGCTCCTTCAGGGATCCAGAGGCTGCTTGCCCTGTAGAAACAGAGAATCATAAAATAAGTGTGAGTCTCTGCCTTTTCCACCAATTACTCACCCCCTTGGGGTTCTAGGAAAGTCCCAAGAAACCCTCTCAGTTCAAACAAACCAGCTCCTGGGAAACCCTTTGGAACCTCACTCACATGAAGGCACTGAGGTCAGAATTCCTTCCTGCTGCGCTCCCAGAGACACGTGGGAGGTTACTGTTCGAGTCCCTGCCCCATTGCTCTTGGGAGAGCTGATTTGGATGCAGGGGAGGACGGAGCAGCCTGCCTGACATGGGGCCGTGGTTTTCAAGCACAGATGAAAACATTGCGAGGTGAGCCGTAAGTTCCTAAGGACAGTGATAGCTTAGAAATCTCCCGGGACTTTTGAATAAGAGAATCTGATGCTACCAAATGTTGACCTGTCCCCTTGATTACAGGTCTGGGTTCTTGACCAACTTTTCTGCTAAATTTACTTTCAAATGTCCTGGTTTATCTATCTGGGTGAATGCCTTTTAGATTCCCCTATAACTGATGAGTCAGTGAATATATTCTTTGAGTCCCGCAGGCCTTTATCAAACCATTCTGTTAAGGAATCTGATTTTCAAAAAAAGCTTCTCTCCCAGCTTCCTTAAAACTAAGGTAGGATGGTTTTTCAGTTGCTTGCTGATCACCTCAAGGGGTATTAAAGTAGCCCCAGTAAATGTTACAGGTGAAATCAGCTGTATTTTGAGTTATTGATGGATCAGTTAATGCATTTATTCTTTCACTTCAACCACAGAGATGGAAGGAGTTAATATTTTGCAGTTAAATAAAGGTTGGGCACCACTTGCCCTCAAATAGGTATAACTCTTGAATTTAGGGAAACTTTGAGTAATTTTGTTTTCACATGAGGTTTTAGGGAGATGCTTAAGTCAGTGTGGGGACAAAACTGCAAGAATGTGGCTTTAGCGTTTTAGCATGTGTGCCCGCATTTAAGCTCTAAACAATTATTCTTTTCGCTTCGCACATGTGGTGCTATATTCTCAGGGTAAATGTCAGAAATTGTGAATTATGTGGTGATATAAGAAAATGCCTCCAAATTTATAATAACTAGTTAGAATGAAACTGGAGGATGACAGTGGATATTGCCAGTATGAGCCTAGATGGTGTACATGGTTCTATCTTAGTTGTATCTTCAGGGTGGGGAAGAGGCGTCATGAAAGAAGAAAGCAGCTCCGTGCCACTCCCTAAATGTGAGTTCAGAAGCTTCGGGAAGTGTTGGTGGGTGCCAACAACTTTTGTTTTCTCTTCCCAGTTGACTGAAAAGGGATGTAGGAACAAAAGACTTCTCCTCTCAGTTGCGGAGACTGACTTGCATTTCCCCTTCTTAAGATGGCTTCTTGGCCTGAAGGTGAGACCCCCTAGAGTTTTACCATGTCTAGGTAGGTCATGCTTTTCTCCTTCAGCCATTCCTTTCTTCAACAAGAATTTATTTGGTTCCATATTTGTGCCAGGCACTGTTTAGGAGCTGAGGATGTAACTGGGGGGCAAGTCAGTCACGATCCTTGCACTCATGGAGTTGGGAGATGAGATTGGCATCAAACAAGTCCATGTGTTATAAAAGGGGAGTAACGGGTACTTGGGGAACATACAATGGGGGAGACTTAACATGATCTGTGGGATCAGCTGACTCTAGAGAATACGTCAGTACTAAAGGCCATCTATAAGACCGGGAAGAGTTGGCCCCAGGAGACTCATCTACCCTCCCACCTAGATCAGTGCAGTGAATGGTGTAACTTGCCTCCTTTGCATCCATTTCACCCCTTCCTCATTCTGTTGCATCCAGGTGGTTTGGGTAAGAATGGCAGGCTCCTAGCTCATGTGGTAGCCTTCCTCAGGCATGGCAATTAATGACCTGGGTTGACTGTATCTAAGAGAAGCCCAGGACTTTTGCTCTAAGGCCAGGATGAGCATATGATGCTGTGAGAAGATAGGGAGCCCAGAACTGCCACCCGCTGACTACCACCAAACAAGCAGCCAGTCCTTTTTCCCCACCTGATCCCATTTACCTCCTACCTCACAAGCTCTTGTTTGTGCTCTACCATTCTCTCTGCTTACTTAACCTTATCCAAGGCCCATAAAGCCTAGCTGGAAGCCCTTCCCTGAGGAAGTCTCACACACCCAGTAAAAATCCACCAGTAATTTATTTTTTACTTTAAATTCTTCAGAAGGAGATATTCCCCAGGATGGTGATTGGACATAGCATCTTGCTGTGAATTAGCCAATGTGTATAGGCATTTGGTTCCAGATCGCCTGGTGATAGGGTTTGGGGTCCCACCCAGGGAGGGGGGAGATGACTTCTGCCAAGCAGCATGGAGGGATGGGAAAGATTTAGAGCTCTGGCCTAACTGAAATCAGGAGAGCTGGGTTTCAATCTGGATCCTTCAGTAACTCCAGCAACAAACTCATGGTATCACTAGTTTAATGGGCATTATCTTTCTTGATCCTCAAAGCAATTCCATGAGATAGAGGTGAAGCTCCACTTTATAGATGAGGACACGGGGGCTCCAAGATGCTAAGCGACTTTCCCAAGTTCCCAAACTGGAAAATGACAGAAGTGGGATGGGAAGCTAGTTCCTCTGTCTCAGAGCCTGCGTTCTTTCCACTGCTGCTTCGGCGCTTACCACTTTGAGATTCGGTGTTCTCAGCTTTCCCCAGGGGGAACACAACTACCTTTATTTGTCAGGATTCAGGTGAGGGTGAAGTGCGAATACGGATCTGAGAGCATTTGGAGATGTACAGAGCAGTCTGCAGTGAGGTGGGAGGGAGGAAGAAGGGTGGGAGGTCGTGTTATAAGGAACAGACCTTGAGAACACTTCCCATTTTTTGCCTCATTTTCATAAGGATGGCTAAAACTGAAAAACAGGTTTCCCCAAACTTCTTTGGGAAGGTAGGTTTAAAGTCCACCCCCCACTTGCCAGCCCAGTCCCCAAGCACCTCTGTCAGTACTCAGTGCCCCTTGTCATGGCACCTTCCTCCTTGGCAAGGCAAGCTTCTCAGAAGGTGGTCTGGAACCTAATGCCTGTAGACCAGTCACTGCCTACTTCACACCATGCAGGGAATATCAGCGAATATTCTCTGCCAACCTGCCTTTGGAGATTAAGGGAGCTGGGCAGGAGATACTCTGCCTTCTGCTCTAGCCAAGACACAGATGTTTTTGGTATCAGAAGAGTCAGCTTTAAGATGTCCTCCACAACCGAAAGGGGCAACACCTCCTCCCCTTTGTTACCTCCCTTTACTTTGGCTTATCACCTCCACCCCTTAACTTGTTCCCCCAAGGCTCAGGAATTGAGTGGAGGGAGGGAGCCCAATTAGAAAGGAGCCTCATCAGTACAGCCAGAATCAAGAGATGCTGACTCAGAAAGGCCTCAGGCTGGGGGACTGTGTGAAGCCCACCTCTCGCTTGCCAGCCCAGTCCCTGAGCACCTCTGTTAGTACTCAGTGCCCCCATCAGAACTCATCACCACGTCATGGCACCCTCCTCATGGAAACCAAGGACCAGAGTATCTTGGAGCTGGGAGGAATCTTAGGGATTACTTAGTCCAGTTCCATTTTATAAGTGAGGAGACTGACGTCCCGAGGGGTATATGACTTTTCAAGTCTCTGGAAGACCAAGATTAAGAACCAGGGCTCCTAAGGCATGGTTTCCCAAGCCATGACCCCGCCACCCTTGAAATACGCAGCAGTGCCTCAATGTATTTCTGAGGGGCTTAGAGGGTGGGGGGCAGAAAGGGGATGGCTGGGCAGAGATGGGAACTGCCCATCCATTAGAGGGGTTTCAGCTCTACACATTGGAGTTCATTTTCTTGTTTGTTTCTCTGCAAGGGTTCTCTTCATAAAAAGAAACCACTGCTTAAAACAAAAAGATTTTGGAAACTACCGCTCTTTACCCAACTTCTCTTTAACAAATATAACCTGGAAAGAGCGTTTTAAATCAGTGCCATGTACAGATGCCCCTTGGCTTATAGTGGAGTTGGCCTAATAAAACCATCACAAGTTAAAAATATCGTAAAGTCAAAAATGCGTTTAATATACTCACCTATCGAACATCAGTCTAGCCTACCTTAAACATGCTCAGAATACTTATATCAGCCTACAGTTGAGCAATTTTATTGAGTTTCATCTCAAGATACTTCTTCTCAAGGCTAATTGCCTTCCTTTTCTCACCGGAAGCAGGAAACAAAGATGAGCATTTTGTAGACATTGTGAGGTGTGAAAACACAAAACCCAACATCTAAAAAACATTGGCAACACAGTACACTGTAAAGAACGGTCATGGTCACGTGACTGACTGGAAGCTACAGCTAGCTGCCATGGCCCAGCATCATGACAGAGCATCGTATTGCTTATCACTAGCTTGGGAAAAGATCAAAATTCAAAATCTGAAGTGTGATTTCTACTGGTGTACACCACCATAAAGTTGAAAAATAGCAAGTTGAACCATCATAAGTCAGGGACCATCGCTTGCAAACCTCCCAATTCATCTCACATGTTTGCTTCCCCTCCAACCCTAACCCTAACAGCGTTCACACCCAAGCTCTCTACTGCTCTGCCCCTCACTCATCTCATGCCTCCTTCTTCTTGTCTGTCGTGGTCCTATCCAACACCCTCCCAATTCCCCCTTACCCACTTTTTTCTATTTCCCTTTGTTACTTGTCTCCTCAACCTTCCTCTTTCATTTAATCATCACAAAATCTTTGAGGGGGGAACAGGTTATTGTGCCCATTTTCCAGATGAGAATACTGAGGCCACAGAGCTGCTCATTGGTCCCTCTTAACTTGGCCATGGGGGGTCCCTATTGGTGCGTACACATTCTAGAAACAGAGTTACTTGCTCTTCTTGGGCATTTCTAGACCCTACCTTGGCCTCATAAACCTGGAGGCGGAAGGAATCACAACTAGTTCTCCTGGGAAGAGTCAGGCTGAATATGCATTTACTGAGCACTTCTCTGGTGTCAGGTACTGTGTTAGGCAGGTTGGTGTGATGAAAAGAGCACCAGCCTTGGGAACTCAGTCTCTGCTCTCCCTGTTACTAGCTGGATAATTTTGTCCAAGACATCTTGACATCGCTGAGCCTAAGTTTTTTCATCCATAAATCAGGGGTCATGATAACTTATAGACTTGTGAGGAGGTTGTATGAAAAATGTCTTAGAAGTAGGAGAGGCTTAATAAATGATAATTATTATCATTGTTTTGCCCTTGATATCTCATTAAAAACACCACAATACTTCTTCACATTGGGTTTCATTTTTTTTGTTATGTACTCATGAAGACCAAGGTTCAGAGACTGAGCAGCTCACCCACAGACTATAGCTACTAAGTCAAGCCCAAGAGCCCTCATCCAGGGCTGGTGCTGCTCCCATTGTCCTGCCCACTGGAGGCTCTAGGACAGGCGTGGATCTGCTTCAGTCACGAGAAGTGTACCACACAGGCTGCCCACAGCCTCCTGGAGCACAGCACACACTTGTGCCCTGCTGCCCACAGTTCAGGTTTAGGGTGGGTTCCTGCCACCTCCTCCCCCACTTCACCGTCTCCAAGTTTCACACTAATCACCAAACAAGGTGAGAACTTATTTTAGAACCAACAGCTTAGAACAAGCACACACTGAAAATACAAGCTGAACAGTTGGTGAGGCCAGGTGGCGGGGAAGGAAGCACTGGAGCGCCGACCGGCTGTGTGGCCTTGGGCAGATCACATCAGGCAGGCCTGGGGCACATGTGAGCAAATCAGTCATGCCAGATCCTCAGAGGAGAGCTCCATGGAGGTACCCCGGGAGTTTCATGACCGGAGATATATTCCTAACTTATGGAGCTCCTGTTCTGTTCTGAGATCCCTGAGGAGAGCCAAATGTTCAGACTAGAGTGCTGTGACAGGTGGAAGAGGTTTCCAGTCCTTCATGGCATTAAACATAAAGTACCTACAATATGAGTTCGTTTCCTACATAGAAACTGATGAAATTGCTTGGGTTAAGCCCTGGCCAATATGGCACAGTGGTTAGAGCATCAGCCTGGGCACTGAAGAGTCACGGATTTGATTCCGGGTTGACTGTACCTGGGTTACAGGTTTGAGCTTGTGCAAGACAACCAATCAATCTCACGTTGACCTCCTCTTTCTCTCCCCTCCCTTCCTTCCACTCTCTCTAAAATCCTCCGGTGAGGGTTAACAAAACCAACCGACAAAATTGCTTGGGTTAAGAGAGAGAATTCAAATGTTTTCTTTCACCAATATAATTATTTTACATAATCATTTAAAAATCTACAACTAATGTATCTCATAAATGTATTCAAAGAAAATATTTTAAATAAATGAATAAATAAATAAATATTTTTTGTTAATTCTCACCTGAGGACATTTTCCCCACTGATTTTTAGAGAGCAAAAAGGAGGGAGGGAGAGAAAGAGAGAAACATCAATTTGAGAGAGGCATATAGATTGGTTTCCTCCCGCATGGGCCAGGGATTGAACCCGCAACCCAGGTATGTACTCTTGACTGGGAATGGAACCTTCGACCCCTCCGTGCCTGGGCTAACACTCTAACCACTGAGCAACACCGACCAGGGCTAAATACCTATTTCTGAAAAAAAATAAACATACACCTGAATGATATCATTTTGTTTTTAAAGGTGTCCTCAAAGGGAGGGAGGGCTAAGGTCCAGGGAAGATGACATTCTTCATCTAATTTGTCACAGAAATTGTGATTAGAATACAGGTCTTCCCGATACCCAACACCTCTGCTTTCAGCCCTTCCTTCCCTAAGACACTCAGAGGGGAGTCAGCCCCCAGAGTCACTCCTCTCCCTTCAGTCTCTTTCTGCCCCCTGTGATTCAGAGATCACAGGGTATAAAAAGCAATATTAGATAAGGGAGCAGAGCCTCCTGGGGGGACCCAGGACCTGGAGCTACCCCTCCTAACGGGGTAACAGGGCAGGCAGGCAGGGGAGCAGGGTCTGGCTGGACTCACCTGCGAGCTGGGCGAGGAGCGCGATGAGGGTGCAGCTCACGAGGGAGCCGGGCATGCTGCTCTCCTGAGGCCAGCTGTGCGAATGCACCACTTCCCCTCCGAGCACCACGCTTTCCTCCCCAGGTGGCTTCCCCAAGTGACATTTAAGAAGTAGGAGAGTCACGAGGATGGGTCTAACTTCTTTCTTTTCCACTGGTAACACACAGTCATTAGAAAGAACCCAAGGGTGACTGAACTCCATTTCACACATAAAAAACTTACAGGCTCAGAGAGGCTAGGAAGTGGTCAAGGTCATATGGCCAGGCTTTCCTATTTTATCATATGACCTCTCAGATTCAAAACAGAAAATGGAAAGGCTGATGGGGGCACAAAAGGGTGGCACTGGGAATAATAATAATACTTACTGAGTGCCACTAAGTGCCAGGAGTACATGCGTTCTCCTATTTAATTCTCATAACAACTCTGTGAGTGAGATACTATCATAATCTCTATTTTACAGATGAAAAAATGAAGGCTTAGAATATAGTACAGCAAAATTAAAACATTTTTTAAGTCAAAAGAAACCATATGAGAGTTAAAAAGGCAAGCCACATAGTGGGTGAAGGTATTTGTAATACACTTATTCCACAAGAGTCTTATATCCACCATATATAAAGTCATACACAGCCCAGCCGGGTGTGGCTCAGCGGTTGAGCGTCGACCTAGGATCCAGGCGATCGGGGTTCGATTCCTGGTCAGGGCACATGCCCGGGTTGCGGGCTCGATCAATGACTCTCTCATCATTGATGTTTCTGTCTCTTTCTCTCCCTCTCCTTTCCTCTCTTTGAAATCAATAAAGGTTAAAAAAAAAAAAGTCATACACATCAATAAGAATTAGGCAGACAACCCAATAGACAAGAGACTCAAATAGGTACTTCATAAAAAAGGATATTTAAGTTGCAAATCAAAAGAAACCACTAAGAAAATAAAGCAAATAAGAATAGCTAAAAAGTTAATAGAGACATTAAAGTGAATTTTTAAAAAAATCTATTAATAATAATTTAAAAAATATCTTTATTGATTTCAGAGAGAGGAAAGGAGAGGGAGAGAGAGAGATAGAAACATCAATGATGAGAGAGTCATTGATCGAGCCCGCAACCCGGGCATGTGCCCTGACCAGGAATCGAACCCCGATCGCCTGGATCCCAGGTCGACACTCAACCACTGAGCCACTCCCGGTCGGTCTAATAATAATTTTTAAAAAGAAAGGAAAGGTGGTGAAACCAAAAAGAGAGTGAACAAATAGAAAACATAATAAATGGTAGACCTAAATTCAACTATAGTCATGCACTGCTTAACAATATGGATAGGGCCCGGCCAGGCGTGTCTCAGCAGTTGAGCATCGACCTAGGATCCAGGAGATCGCGGTTCGGTTCCCGGTCAGGGCACATGCCGGAGTTGCAGGCTCGGTCCCCAGTCGGGGCCGTGCAGGAGGCAGCCGATCAATGACGACTCTCTCATCACTGATGTTTCTATTTCTCTCTCTCCCTCGCCCTTCCTCTCTCTGAAATCAATTAAGATATGTTTAAAAAACAAAACCAAAAAACAATAGGAATAGGTTCTGAGAAACATGCCATTAGACAATTCTGTCATTATTCTAAGATCACAGCGTGCACTTACACAAACCTAGATAGTATGGCTCACCACGCACCTAGGCTATATGGTGTAGCCTATTGTTCTTAGGCTACAAACCTATACATCATGTTACTATATTGAATATTGTAGACAATTGTAACAGAATGGCAAGTATTTGTATATCTAAGTATACCTTAGCATTAAAAAGGTAGAATAAAAATATGGTATAAAAGATAAAAAATGGAGCTTGTAGGACTGGGAGTTGCTCCTATAGGGTGAGTCGACGAGTTAGTGGTGAGTGAATGTAAAGACCTAGGACATTACTGTACACTTTAGACCTTATAAGCACTGTGCACTTTGGCTACTCTAAATTTATAAAATAAACATGAGATTAAACCAAGCACAAGAGAAACACTATACGATCAAGACATGTGGTAAAAATGATGTATGAGGCTGCTGGCTTAACCCAGAATACAGTTTTACAGCAAACTTTATTTTTGCAAAAGTAGAAAGAGTACACTCTATAATAACAGAGTATAATAGATATTAAAATAACAATAAAAGTATAGTAAATACATCAACCAGTAACACAGTTGTTATATTATTATCAAGTATTATGTACTGTATATAATTGTATGTGTTATACTTTTATAAAACTAAGACTGCAGTAGGTTTGTTTCTACCAGCATTCCCCAAACTCATGAGTCATATATGGCACGACAACTTTACGATGGCTACAATGTCACTAAGGGATAGAATTCTTCAGCTCCATTATAATCTTATGGGACCACTGTAGAATATGCAGTTTATTGTTGACTAAAACATCATTAAGAGGTGCATGACTGTATATCAATAATTACACTAAGTATAAATGGACTATACACTCTAACTTAAAAGCAAAGATTATTTAAATAGATTTTAAAAACAAAACTATATGCTGTCTATGAGAGGTGCCCTTTAAGTATAAAGATATAACTTAGCTGCAAGTCAAGAATGGATGAAAATACATCATTCAGCCACTAGGTATAAGAAGGTTGGATTAGCTCTGTTAATATCAGAAAAGTAGGTTTTAAGACAAAGTGATAATGAGGGACATTTCATAATCACAAAGGGACCAACTTACTAGGCAGGCACAACAACCATCAATGTATATCACTAGTAATAACAGATCTTCAGAATACAAAAAGCAAAAAATTTCTCTGAGATAAATCGCCAGGAGTGTGATTGCTGGGTCATATGGTAAATATGTTTAGTTTATTTTGTTGTTGTTGCTGTTGTTTTCATTATTTAGGAATTTCTTGATTTTTATTAGCAAATACCTACCATAGAAACACTGAATAATAACAACAACAAAAAACATTAGGGGGAAAGATCCCTGGAGAGTGAGCATAACACAGGGGTTAAAAACAAGGGCTCTGGAGCTGGACAAGCTCAGTGCCATTCCTTGCTAGCTGCGTCCTTAGGTCGGTTTCTCAGCATCTCTGCCTTGGTTTCTCCATTTGTAAAACTGGGATAATAATGGCACCTACCTCATAGAACTAAGGGGATTGAACAGGTTAATAATTGAAAAGCATGGAAGCTCCGAGGTTCATTTTTTGACTGTGGATGGCCAACTGTTTTAGGACCATTTGTTGCAAAAGACAATTCTTCCTACTGAATTGCTTTTGCACCTTTGTCAAAAATCAGTTGGCCACACTTGTGTGGGTATATTCTGGGGTTATCTATTCTGTTTCATTTATTTATATAATGGAATTATTGATGTATTAAGGCTTAAGTTTGGTTCTGGATTTTTAAAAAAAATATGTTTTTATTGATTTTTAGAGAGAGGAAGGGTGAGGGGATAGAGAGAGAGAAACATCCATGAGAAACATCATCATATCATCAATTGGCTGCCTCCTGCACATCCCCTCCTGGGGACTGAGCCTGCAATGAACTGTGACCTCTCAGTTTGTGGGCGCAACCCGCTGAGTCACACTGGCATCACCGGTTCTGGTTTCTTTGTACCTCTGTTTTACTTCCCTGGCCATTCCGTAGGTTACCTGAATATTTTTTATAATTCCATTTAGATCTATTTATAGTGTATCTTGAATGTATCTCTGAATAGATCTTCTCCAAATTAATTTCTATGAATGAGAAATGGTGCACGAAACCCAAATACATGAAGAGAAGAGAGTACACAGTGGTGCCTCGGTTTCCGAAGGTCTCCATTGACGAACATTTCGGGTTACAAACGCCGTAAACCCGGAGCAAAATGCCTCGGTTTTCCAACAGGCCTCGGAAGTCGAACAGGCCACGCGGCTTCCGCTGAGGGCAAGGTCCTGAGGCCTCGCTGTGGGCTCTGGAGCCCTCGGCTTTCTAACGTTGCAGAACTGAACGAGCTTCTATGACGGATTACATTAGAAAACCGAGGGACCACTGTGTATGTATCTGAAACAAACCTTGATACCAAAATCATACAAACACAGGAAAAGAAAATTATAGACCAGTATTATTTATGAATATAGTTGCAAAGATCCTAAATGAAACATTAAGAAATCAAATCTACTCATGTATTAAAAACACGTCATGACAAAATATCAGTTATCTCAGGATTGTGAGAATGGGCCCACAATCAATGGGCCCACAAGGCAAAATAACATATGATCACGTCAGAAGATGTAATAAAAACTTCGATAAAATTCAATACTCATAATTTTAAAAATTTGTATGAAGCTACAGAAAACATCACACTTAAATGCTGACTCTTTGGAAGCAATACTATCAAAGTCAGGAATAAGACAGGAGTTTCTCCAGTCACTGCTATTATTCATTAATTAACTGGTGTCTTGGCCAAAGAAATGAGACTAACTAAGTAGCTAACTAAATAAGATGTATGTAGATTAGAAAAGGAGAGACTAATTATCATTATTTTTGGATTATATCAGTGTTTACATAGGAAAATTTAAAAATCTGCAGACAGACTAAGAAGACCAATAAAAGAGTGAGCAAGGACTCCAGAAAACAACTGTAATTTTACACATATATTTTTCTAACTTGGCTCACAGGTTGACATTTGTTATTAATCTTGACCTATTTCAATTAAGAGTCAGAGAGGCATTTTCTCTAAGGTTACACAGCATTTTATTAGCATAACCAGAATAGGAACCCAAATATTGTGACTTCAAATCCAGTGACTTTTCCATTACAAGGTACTATCCATTTGTAAATCAGTACAGATGTAGAAACTGTGGTTTTGAAATGTAATTTTGATTCTTGGCAAACAGTCCCCAGTGGTGGTTTGGAACACGTTTCATTGAAATTAACTTTCACTTTCTTTCTTCATGTAATGCTTCCCTTGTCCTAGAAATGATTAAGCCATGTCTTCTGGGAAGATGAGAGAAGCTGTCTAGAGATGGTAAGGGGCCTGAATGGGGTAGAATGAGGTCAGTAAAAAGCCCTGAG